AAAGTATCTAGTGCGCGATAGGCCTCCAGTTCAGCTAGATATTCGGATCCGTTTTGATCCTTGTCCGATAAATCTAAAATAAACATGGTAGTTGTTGGCTGTAGATGCATACGTCGCTACGGTCGGCGAATTCATAGCTAGCTAAAGATGGTCGCGACGGCTTGTCAAATGAGCTTGACAGATACTGATCAGTACTATTGTCGTATGTGAAGCTAAAGTAAACGAGCAATTGAGCCGATGAACATTGAAGCCACAAAATGTACATTTATGATTTCCTTAGTGACCGTCGACAGGCTGAAAGATGAGCTTTTAGGCAAAGGTCAATTTTACATCTGTCCCATCCCTGCCACACGGTAGACATCGGCTCGCTTGACAATAGCAACAACAACTCGCGAACTCGAAGATGATACGGATCCATAATTGTAGAGATAGATGAGATGAAGAGAAGAATTTCGTGACATAATAGGCTGAGAAAGTAACCAATACGCTCTGAGGGCACAAAACGCGCGAGATGCTAACTGATTTAAATTGAAAACCATTTCATAAAAATGTGTGGCTTCTCTACTTAGTTGCTCTTACCCATTCAAATTGTATGTAGCAAACATGTCACAATGAACTGTATCGCTTGCTGGTTACACCTGTACGTAAGGTCTGAGGACAGTTTATTGATTGAAACCTAGCCTATATGTATAGGTTGATTGTAATTGAAGGATAGCACCAAACTACTTATCGTTTTGATATACAACTTCGACGCGAAAGTTACTGATTCACCTATATTGATTAGCAACCGCCTGTTTGTCAACGGCTCTGCCTATAAACACACACATGAGTATAATTCTGCAGATTTACTTGCAGGATTCATGCCGCGATGTTAAGCGTCACGTTTCAGCGTTCAGTATTATGTACATATATATATATATATATTGTGGTCTACCGTAGAGATCCTTCGGTGAGCCAGTCGAGCAGATTTGTAAGTCTGTCAAGATACCTCCAACATAATCATAAGCTAAGAAAAACTATGGACTTGTAGAACAATCTAGAGTTTAGAGGCCATGCTGTCGAATAACGGACAGAAAAAACTACTTTCTGTATCTTCTATACTAGTAGAACAAACAAGGTCAGAGCATAAGCTCCCCTAATTTCGCACCCTGTCTCTTAAACTGCGCGACAATCTCACTGAAGATTATTTGTACGAAATGAAGAGGCATACAGGTGAAAAACATTGCTTATCGAAACCCTGCGGCCATATTTGAAACATAAACAGTCAAAGCTCCGCTTCCGGTGACTTGATTTGATTTATGTTAGAGCTGATTCCGAGAATGTAAACATAAGACAAAATTTCTAGACTAGAACATAAGCGAATGTTAGATGATTGTCGCTGCGGTCTATTCTGTCGGATTTGTACGCTAGCTATAGTCATCTTTCAAAGAGATTAAAGCGGAAACAACCAAGCAAGGGCTTTGTTAAGGTCAAAAAAAGCTTGGCTGCCAACGGCCCAAAGAGGAAATCGACTGTTCTCCCGATTTCCGCAGTTAACTGTATTCATAGAAAAAAACAAGCGATACCCTCGGATTTCTTCCTTTCTACAAATGCCAGCCAGCTTTCGATCAGTAAAGAAATGTTCACTTGATCAGATGTATACGTATTACTGCTATGCAGTTACGTGTAATCCCTATTGAGAAGTTACCCTATTTATAAAGTGCACGTAATAGTGTTTAATAAAGACATACTCTCATGTAGTTTATACGACAATCATTTCGCATAAGTTGATTTCTCATAAGTTTTGGAGGAATTTCCACTTCACACTGCCACACTTCGACATATGGCTCAGCTCCCTTTCCACCTCTTATTGATTACTCAACGCTTAAATCTAACGCATTCAGCCTATGACCAGAATAAGGCTTTACCTAGTAAAAGAAAAGAATAGTAAACATGCATATAATTACTGAACCTGTAAGCTTGTCACCAAGGGCCCACATATTGTACCCACTATTGGTCTAATGCAGTTTGACGGCCTTTTTCTCTCCACAGGCCACGTGCTCACAATGCCCACGTATGCAAAGAATAACAGTCACATTAATGAGCAATATTTATCAAGGTACTATTTGCAGTAAGTTTTTCGAACACCAGTAAAAAATCAACCAAGCTAGACGCATCCACTGCGTTCTTCACTGTTTGTCTATCAAACGAGCATCTTTTGATATTCAGTCCTACTTTCGCAGCTGTGTTAATTTGAGCGGGTGGAAATTAAACACTACGTATACACTTTCGAACCCTTCCGCATCGATAAGCCATCTAACGTAGCTTTTTCTTTTATATCGATGTTGTTCCTTGTTGTTTGTACGGGACCGTACTGAGTATTCTTTTGCCTCCATGACAACTATCTACTTCACCCTCGTAACCAGCTATTTATTTGCACAAATCAGATGCTGAATTTGATGAAGTAAAGTAGGTAATGCGTGAATTTTACTACTCACTTTTACGGGTTCTTTCATTTCCGGGTATTACAGTGGCAACTTGCTGGTCAGTAACCATCAAACTTTGTAGGAGAATGCTATAAGACTAAGCAAAACATGAAAGCGACAAATCTCCTTCCATTTGCCACAGTCTCGTAATGAGCCACAGAAGGCCAATCTGAACGCAATAAGCCATAATAAAAAAGACCACTTTAGATGCTCATTGATTTGGCGCGACATTTTTGTAGCTTTACAAGCCGCACACCCGACTTACAGTTGAGCCTCCGTAAACCCGAAAAATAAAGTTAACAATGAAATATCTGAGATATAACGTAGTCGTCATTATGGGTTCGCCGCTGTTGGCGGAGCCCATCCTTCGACTATAGACTTGGTCATCTCAAGGATTGGCTTGCTGCACCAAAGAGCTTTTTCTTTCTAATGAGTAACCGCTGCTCGTCTTGTGCGGAGGGTGACGATGAAAAAGGCCGATGAGAATTTCTCAGCAGGCACTAGCAAGAAGTATCTTCGTCCACTAATGTTGGCACATACCAGCTTCGATCAGGTTGTTTGGCTTAGTCTAGTACCCAGTGTTGAATATGAACGAGCATCTTTTATTGCTCTAGACGTCGGTTTTCTAGAAAAGATCAGAACGAAACTTTGATCTGATGTGAGCTGGCGGGCTCACTGAGATTGGCTTCTTCTGGTCGAACAAAACCAACGTAAGTTCAGTGGGACCCGTCAAAAGTAATAATCAATGGATTGAATGTCGAGCGTAAAAAACGACTGTACTACTAACCTATTCGCCGAATAGAGAAAATTACCATTTGAGGTTGAGACTGGCTGTTTCACTGAGTTCATTTACATGGCGGAAATGTTGCTTGTATATCCGTGTAGGATAATACATCTTCTAGATCTACCTGATTCGAATTCAGTTATTCAAAACGCTCTAATAATTCTACTAGTTTAAAGAATTGTTGCCAGCTGAAGTCAATAAACGTTGAACGAATGAGTACGAGACATTGCAACGAAAGCAAGACGGATTTTGCCACGCTATTAAGTGGTTGAGTCTTACTCATCGAGTCACAGGGAAATCCATTGATTTGTTCGGTAACCTTTGCTTACTCCAATTTTACGGTTTTCAGCAAAATTTAACAAAAGCTACGAAGAAATTGTGTTGAAATTCTAGTTTTTGCGTTCTGGTTTCTTGTCAAGAACAATTCGATCCTTTAACTCAGAAACTGGAAAGCTCTAAATATAATAGAAAAATGGTCAGCTACTCTATCTACTATTTCGAATAACACTAACGAATCATAATTGTAATAAACGTTTCTTATGGCTAATGTACGATACACTTCCATAGAGCCTTAGATTTATGTAGGAAAAACACTCAAAATCGATTATGTTTCAAAGCTTCAATCGTTCCAGAGAAAGCAGGGAATAAAAATAACATTGTAACATTTTAGCGCTGTCAGTTTGATTTTGTCCACCTGCGATATAAACGGCAAAGGTTATGTTTGAAATAAAAATCGTAAAACATATAGGTAAGGCGCAGTTGTTTAGACACAAATTGTCAAATCATTATCGGCCACTCTTTTCACAAACTTTCACAAGTTGGAGAGGATAGTGTGTGCAGATGTTCCACTGTAAAAATTCTAAATACATCTACATAGAACGAAAGTACTTTAGGGCAATCGGTAAGAGATGTTCTCTTTTTCTGCGCGATCGACCATTTTACTGTCGCGGTTTTAATTAGAACCAACTATGCATCAGAGTTACCGATATCCCACTAACGTAAAGGCATAGAGGCTTCACAGCATCTATAGTGGTCAGATTGCTTTTTTAAAACTCCAAATAGATACACCATATTTAAAAAATTATGAGTTCCTAAAAACGTCTGCTTTTTTTAAACGTTAGGCGTTCACGTCATCCTTGTAAGTCGGATAATGATTTTTATCTGAGTATTGGTGATTTGATTGTCGGTACTAACTTTTCGAGCTTATCTAGAGTTTGGATAATTATAATAATAACCCTACAAGTTGACAAGTTGGCTCTGTATAATTAGCCACTGTCAGCCGTGAATTTGATTTGGCACGTAAATGGAGGTTATTTATATGCTAATTGTTCATATATTATAAAATGTTAAAAAAAAACTGATGCACGTCTTAGCTTCACCGGAGGAGCAATATTCGGTCTAGGCAAGCATCATTCAGTTATAATTTCAACTTACACATATCTGATTTGTTCGAGAACCATCTGACTCCGAAGCGTACATTCTATTGCACCCAATGCTTGGTAAATTCAGTTGCGACTCGAATATTTTGTCTTTAGATAAGTCATCTGCGTATGTTGTCTATATCATTTTATCTATCTAACCTCCTTTTCCTTACAAGCACGTAAGCATGTGCACGTTTGCGGGTACGAGCCGAAATATTACAAGAACTACAGCTACTGTTTGCTACCGCTCGAAAGCTTAAAGGGAGGATTTTTGCGTTTGAATCGATCCGGATAAACTAATGCCCAACTCGGTATACTTGGTGCTTTCAGCTCTGCGGCACGGGTGCATAAGTACGATTGGATCAAGCTGAGAAGAGACTGTTTTTGTTCTGCTTTTTCTACGTCACGGCTTCTCGTAGTCGCTGTTCATCACGAACAGATTCGCCGGACGGTAGAAGAAACGAAGGAATGCGCTGGTTGCCAGGTTAGACGACCCACTCGATTCTGTATAGCGTTTAGCTTGCTAGGATCTGTTTCTTGGGTTAGGCGCAGGCTAGGGTGAATGGGTCAGAGGGAGTCTTGTAGGGAACAGGAAGGAACGCTTCGGCGTTTCGCGAAAACTGGGACGGTTTTGGCCGCGGCTCAACAGGGCTTTGGCTGATAATAGAAAACGAACGAAGGAGAAAAGATGCCTATAGAGCACAATATTCCTCGCAAGCGCGGTTGTATTTAAGAGAAGACGAGAAAAGATGAAACGAATGCCACCACTGGCCGAATAACAGTACAGTCAGGAGCATTCTGAAGTAGGTTTCGACACTTTGACTATTTATGTTCAGAATGCGCCATCAGACAGCTGAGGTGGTTTTGTTTCGGAAAAAAACACTTTCAACAATTGCAATAACAAAATGTGTGACATGATGAAACTGACTGCACCTACTAAACTCATTTAAAAATCGTTTAACCATATTGGAGCAAATTTCTTGCTTGCTTTGTTAAAACTTACTGGTTTAGCGTTTGGCAGGTTGTGAAATCAGCGACGACACTTTCAGTCATTGATTCATTCATTACAGGTTTAGTGGCGCTAACAGGTCTTTCCTTTATGTATTACTGGTAAAAATTGTAGTTCAACGCTCATACTCAGCAGGTGTATCCGAACGATAAAGAAAGTATGCTAAAATTAAGTTTTATGATTTACACTAATAAAGTAGCCCTTTAGTACTGTTTAATACATAAAAATAAACACCTCTGAATAAACGGCAACTCTAACAAAAGAGTTTATCGATGTCTGAAGAGTCAAGTGAGGCCTCCTAAAGCACCGAGCTTGTAGACAGACGCATGGATTTCATCATGTAGCATGTGACAGAGGAATCTGTTTCAAAAGACAGGCTTTACTGTTAATTCTTATTGTTGGCGTCCACTATCTCTTTCTAAGCAGCTTGAGAAAGGTTTTCCTTGACCTCAAGCAAATGTTCAGATTTGATAGCTTTCAGCTATTTTGCAAGACAAGTCCGTTTAGAAAGACATTTTGCTGTCGTGTCTGAGAACGATCTCCACCAATGGCCGGCAGCAGAAGACAGTTAGCATTAATGATCGACGACGATCGTTGATATATAGCGAATGACGAGCATCGTCCTCTTCAGCTTCAAATTCATTAAACGCCCAAAGCAACTGTTCAATTATACCGCGTCACAGCATATTTCCCTACGATGGAATTTCCGTCTTTATATAATAATAGATCTTAAAAGCCTATCAATCCGTCGCCGCAATGCTTCAGACCAAACTAATATAGCCCATATCCAAAGCGTACATTTAAAACATTCCAGTATTCTAAATACAAACGTTTGCTGTTCTAATATAAGCAAGTTTGCGTTAAACCATGAGCTCTATCAAAAAAAAAAAAAAAAAAAAAAACCGATGGAGGCTAGCCTAGTAATAAGGCATTTATACCATTATGATTATTATTACTAGTTAATAGATTTATATGGTTGGATTTACCTCAAAACATTAACCGTAACAGTTCCAGCACAGGTTCCTACTCAATGTAGAGAAGTATGTGAATAGATAAACAAGGAAAAAAAATGATGTAGAAGCCTTTCGCTAGCGGCTACCGTAAAGAAACCATTTCACAGCTCAAAAAGCAGTAATTACGGAAGAGACGTTCTGAGGAAACTGTTATATCACACATAGCAATAGTTGAAACGGCAGTTTCTTGACGTTTACGTTAATGTCTATAGAGTATGGATAAAGTGCGCAGTAGCTAAATGCGGCGTCAAGTGCTCAAGTGCATAGTATAGAGACCACTCTCGAGCGTTTTTTTTAAACGATCAAGATGCCCCTAAGTATTAACAAAAACTGCCCAAAATAACACACTATACGAGCCCACAAAAAGTGTTCTTTGAGCACATCTTTCTTGTTTAGCCTGAACGCGACTTAATTGAGGGTCAAGGAGATCATATAACGACTGGCAGTTTTTTTTTTCTTTTTGTAATATATTAAGCTGAAACAACAAACGGCTACTTGAAAAGCTCGCAATATTTGTACATATTCCACTGTGCACTACCTGGCTAAATCGAATTATACCTTAAAAAATACATCCGTTTTAATCGCTATAACAAGAACCGTAATTACGTCCCTTTAGCTAGCCAGATATAACTAGTAGCCACGCCTGCTGTCGGCCATGCAGCCACTATTGACCAGAGCCGGAGCTGTCGCCATTCTCTACTCAGTGCTCTACATCACCTCGTATCGATGTCTGTATTACAACATGTTGAGCCGCCGAAGCTATTGTCACGCTTTTTACTCGCACCTCCTCCTCCTCCTCCTCCTCGTAAGTCATGCTTTATCGGCTCCTTCCGAATTGACCGTTAGGAAAGGAGTGGGCCAAAAGTACGCGCGGATGGCAACGCGTCGCCAACAACCAGTCAGCCTGAGCGACTAGACCGATAAAACACCGCTAAAATTAACGCAGACGTTAACGAAGGAACTCGTACATACTCGGGCTAAATATTCGCCAAGTACTACGACAAAAATATCCGGCTAGTGGCTTGATAGGAAGATGGAAGTCACAAGTTCAATCTTTAATAGCAGTTACTATTATATTTGCTAACTTTAACAGTTTTTATTAGACATCTTATTGGTTTATTAATTTCTATTAGAATCTTAATACTACACTGTTTAAATAGTTGATTTAGTCTAATTTTTATATTACTAAATTTAAAAATGTTATTAACTTGACACTTGTTGATTATTTTGTGTCGAGCGTCAACCGCCGATGGTGTCGCTGTGCACAGATTTGTGGCATTGATCGAGTTTCATTTATCCTTATGTACGTGAGCCTTAATTCTGATTTCCTCTTTGTGTTACTGTTGTTTTTTGAAAACGTTGTCGGCAGCCTGATAGCTTTGCATCCTCTTCGCCGATGAGTGATGGCGTGACGTCACCAAACAAACAACGCCGTATGTCTCAGGAAAAACTCGCTTCGTAGAATGTGTTCACACGTTCCGAACTCGCTTTTATTATAGCCTAGCGCACCGTCCCTGCAGCTATCATCAGTGATATTAGTAAGCGCAAGGACACACCGATTAGGAGTGGTTCCGTCCTTGAGCATACCCAAAAAGTAACAAACGGCTACTCAATTAGTATGTATCTAATAACAGCAAGGATGTTATGGATGCTATATATTGTAGTTAGCAAGTCCCAGCACGCATTTTAGCTGATTTTAATCTTTGTCCCAGGTTGATTTCGACTCTCCTCTTATAAAGTTTTTGAACGACCTTTTCTTGGCAAGATTTACGTCTTAGGTGTTGATTTCCTTGATTATTAAGGGTCATATTTACGATTCTATTAGGATGCGACACTATACCAAATCGAATGTTTGCTTAGGTGACAAAAATTACCTCTAGGAGCTTGAACATTTTTCATCGTCCAGAAAGAACGAGAAATCACTTGAAGGGGACATCGACAAGGCAACTCTTTTTATGCCATGTACAGTCGTTAGCATCAACGTCGTAGACCTTTGCAAGATTGGGACACATTATAGATTTCAGATAATTTCATTATAGATTGAAAATTGAATCAGTTTTCGCCAAATAAAAACGACAGCACTTAAGATTGAAGGTAAAGTCGTTTACTATTAGTCAGCTGCTCATCGATGACGAATCCCATGATATGCCCTTCACATTGCGTAGAATTCGAGAACAGTAGCGTAATCACATGGCCTAGCTCGAATTGTCTCTAAAGCAGTACCTTTCATTTTCGCTTAACACCATTTCAATCGAGAGGCTACCCCCATTAAATATACCGACATAGGAAATAGACTTGTAACATGACTGATAGCATGTTTTGAGATGAACGGACCAAAAGTGAAGCATAACAATACGGATGGTTCAAGAGCCACCTAGCAGAATCACGCGTTTAACTCAATAACGTTACATGCAATTTACTACTATAAATTACTAATTGAACAGTTAATAAATGTCACCCTGTAATAATTTGTTTTTTTCTTGCAGCAATGCGGTAAGCACCATGTTGTGGGAAGATATAGGAAATTAACTAACATACTGCTGCATGAATATAATGAAGTCGCCTTATGGTCTAACTTTCGGTCAGGTGCATAAGGTAATAGATTAATCGCATTATTGCAATACCTCTTGGTCCCTTATCATCATATTAATTATTTCTTTTACTTTTTTTGTCGTATAGGTTAATACCTTTCTAGAAGGAATATTATCGCTATGTGGGTGGCAAATTTACTTGGGCTTGCGAGAAACATGGTGTTATTCGTGAAATTTGTAACTCTTTCCCAAAATGAATAACCTGTATCATGCAAAAGCATAGAAGGTCTATTTTTGGTTATCAGATAAAACTGCGTTGTTTAATCAAATGTGTTGCGTCAACAAACCTTCACTCTACAAACCATCTTTCGCTACTAACGGGAGTTGAATGATATGTTTTAATACTGTCCAGACTTAATCCAACTTGTATATTATTTAAACTGCAGAGAAAAAGAGCACATTCGTACTTCACTACGTGAGACTCCAATAATTTCAACATCGCCGGGTGCTTGGTTCAAAATTTACATACAGACTTCCCGCAGACATATGATTGTATTTAGCTCGCATTATTAAAAAAAAAAAAAAAAAAAAAAGACATTCAGAACGGTTAAATATTGCTGTTTCATGGGCTTTGCCTGACGCTTTTGGGCTCTTATTATTCTTAATTCGCAAATCCGCAAACTAATTAGTTTCTTTCAATTTTGCCACAGTCTCCATTAGAATAATTAAATCTTAATTCATCGAACAAATGGTATCTACACAGCGTTATCGGACATGAATTGATATGACATATAAACAATCCAAAATAAGAGATGTCTTTTGGAATGTGGTGCATTTGGGATAAAATTTTTTCTTGTCTGAATTTATCTTTACCGCATAGATGTAAACGGTACATATTACAAACTTTCGACCTCGTACAAGAAGTTCGCGACTTCAGTACTCCAGACGATTGGGGTTCATATGCAGTATAGTTTATATATATAGCAGAATATATTTTCATAGTTGATAACTAGGCTTTTCACATAAATATAGTACTGTCTTAGTAAATGTTATAATGTTAATATTAAGATGGTTTCATAATAAATATAAAAGGTTAAAGCATTTACAAAATAAAATACATAACCAAAGCATAATTTAGCGGTAACGACAAATCCCAAGTGACCTTAAAAGTGAATTATCCTTTCAAGTTATTAGACTAGGGACTCCGCCTTCTTAGGTTTGCTGATTACAATTGTGGCAAGCACCACTCGCCAAGTAATCTAATTGGATGTTTTAAGTTTTTCTAGTGGTTTTGATATAAATGGAGGTCCAAATTTTCTTAACTGTTTTTAAATTAAACCGGTAAGAAAAAGGCACTCGGTGTGATTCCAGTGGGATTCTACCTAAGACATAAATACGACAGAATTGTATTAGCCATATTGATTCAGTGACCTATAATTTTTGCATAAAATATAATATAACCAAATTTAAACTAAAAAAAAAAACCTATTTATCTAGCAGAACGAACATGTAAACGTTGACAGACACGAATTTATTTGGTACGAACCAAACTACCCAGGAATCACCTTGTCGCGACTTAGACACTTTTAAACTTTAGTGAAAATTCGAAAATTAGTGCCACTTGCAAATCCACACAACGAAATTTTCCTAAATTTTGAGGGCAATAACTCCTGTAGCCATTTTCACAGGGGCGATAAGATCTGTACTCAAGCAATTTTTAGGACGAAGAGCGCCAACATTTCTCCCTAAAAGATACAGCAGGAAAGCACTGGCTTACGTCTGCATTATTTGAAGCAATTTTGTATGCCAACTAGTTTAATTCACCCAATGCCAATTATTTCATTACGTTCTAAAATTATAATTCATGTTGATGTATGAACAGTTGCGTGTGCTAAGCTTGTTTTTCTTTATCATACGCGATGCAGCTAGATCAGTAGCCGTCGACACAACTTAACGAAAATAGCATTACGTCAGTGAGAATAACATTTTAGTTTAACTACTTAATATAATCTATTTACCATATTTCAGAATGCAGGACTTTGTATAGCGTAAGGCTTAACGAGATCAAACAGTTCACCTAGCGCGGGTTCTCCCATTTTTAAGTAAGGTGTTATATAAACATGAGCAAGCCATGTTTTGGCTTTAAAAATATTAATTGAAAACAACCACGTAAAAGTTAGCACCTTAGTTACTCAGGAGTCCGTTATAAAGGATTCTCCCTTCAAAACATGTGTACGTTATGCTATTAACGATACAAACCCACATGCACACGAAAGCACAAATAGCCCCAATTAATAAATCGTAACTACAGAGATGAAAAAAAAACAATAAATTATAGATGGCAGCTCTATTAAACATGTTTCTTTTCAAGGAGACCCTTTCGTGTGTGATCAAAATATGTTAAATTTCACAGAATTGTTTTCAAGCCTCAGAAAACTAAGCGTATCTTAGTTAATAAAAATAAACGCCCAGAAGACATTATTATCGATGGAATGTACCCGCAGCAAATTCGAAGACATACAATAAGCATTTATTTTATGAAAATTCCCGCATTTAAGAATGATATGCGGAAATATGAATCTATTGTTAGAATATTAAAGGAGACCGGGTAGACGTCACAAAAATTTGATAAAAATATATTAGGGATACAGGGTTCCGAACTATTGTTCCAGATAAAAAAAAACAAGCTAGCCAGCCGTCTAAAGAGGAACCAGTCTAATTTCACAGTATACTTCACATCAAACGTCTACTAAGACTTAGATAATTTGTGTTGTTCTATTCGGTATGAATAAAGAGACAAAATTCTCGATCAACTGGCATACCATTAGACTAACTACATGCTTAGTTTTAATTTACCAGAATTTTGGTCTGAAGCTGTCTATAACTGTCAAACCTTATTCTCACACAGTGGTGATCTTTTTTCCCTCTTTCAACTCTTCTAATCTAGGCGCCAAAGCAAAATTGCAAATGGCGGCCGCAGTGGAAGCTCGCCTTCCGCGTTTTAGCGCAACTCAAATTGACGGAACTTGCTGTTTACGTTCCAAACAAGATAGTGCTCCTGGTGCTCAAATTGTGTTGTCAGTTGATTCTTGTGATGTGCCGCACAATGTAATGTGCCAGAAATTTTGCCTGGTTCCTACTCCAATCCTCAGTAATTTTGGGATTTCTCTCGCTATGGCAGAATATTGATTTATCGCTGTAGTGACGTTCTGAGGGCTCTCACGAGCCCTCTTCTGCCAGTTCTATAGTAGGTGTGGAAACAATAGCCATGAGCAGTGAACCTGATGTGGCGACAGCCGCCAAAAAGCGAACCCTTGAACTCGAGGCGTTCTCGTCACTGGTCGACGCTCTACGAGCCGCAGGACCACTGACCCCCGAACGTAAAACGCTGTTGCAACAAACAGCTAACGCGCTCAAAATCTCGGCTGATCGATACAAGGCCGAGATCCGTCGGGCACTGGCTAAACCGAATTTATCTGGAGAGATCGACGAAACATCATGGGCAATGGAAGGTCGACGAGACACGTTCTTGCTGCCCCGAAAACCACCTCGAGCAACTCTGGCGGTCCCGTACGCCGCGTATACGACACGGCTTACTCCTGCTCTTGTCCAGCTACCACGAGCGCCATACAAGACTGTGGAAACGCAAACAGTAGCCCCAAAAGTGGCTGCCAATCCAAAGCTCGTTGTAGTTAGCTCACCTCGCTCACAAGGTACCCATACGATGGTATATGCCAAACCTGCTGGCCAACAAAGACAGGTGCGAGTATGTTCCACGCAGCAAGCTGGAACCCCTCAGCTGCCTGTGGTGGTCAGTGCTAAGGCTCAGCAGCAACAGACACCACAGCAACAACCAAAAATGATGACCGTTCCGACTGTTATAAGGTCATCTGGACCCGTTATATCTGTTCCAGTAAGCGCTGTTTCAAGTAGCATTTGTAACAGCAACAATGGCTGTAGCAGTAGCAGCAGCATCAGTAGCGGTACCTCCAGTAATCAGAGCTGCTGTGCTGTCAGTACAGCTACAGTCAAAAGTCTCCAACAGCCTGCTTGCCAGCAGATTGGTATCGGTTCAGTAAGTCATCAACATCACCATGCTCAGCCGCAGTCCCAACAGACACCGCAACAATGTAAGCAGATCGTTATTACTACACCCAATACTGTTCAAGCGCAACATCCTCATCAACAGATCGTGGATAAAGTAAATCTTCGCGCTTCACCGGGTATACAGCAACAGTTTGCCTTGCAAACGGTGCAGGTTCGACCGACAGTTGGTACGCCGGTTGTCACCAAAGTGCTACATCCTAACCGGACAAGCGAATTAAAAGTGCTGCAGAAACCTCGGTTAGCGCAGGTTCGGACAACGGCCACCTCCATAGCATTGACAACGATGAGTCCAACAGGCGTTCGGCTAGCCCCCACGTTAGCTAATGTGACTAACGGAGGAAACAAGGTGCACATTCACCCGACAGCAGCAAATGGAGCCGGTGAATCAGTACAGAGTGTCACAACGATTAAACCGCCCACCAAAGTCATAAAGTCACTATCGCAGTGGAACTACGATGATCATTCAGTAATGGCCAAACCTGCCATTGTTGCGCCAGTCGGCGCGGCCACGACGGCAAGAACAATATCGGCGCCTTCGTACGGCGGTGAGACGATTCTACCATCATCCAGCTCATCGTCATATCCTCAACAATCGCAACAACAGCAATACGTTCACCACCAAAATGTACAACATCCTGCACCAACAACAAAGATTCAGCTAGCGAGCACCGGTGGCGGGACGGCATCACAGACGCGCACGGTTCAGATAGTCCAAATGTCGACAAACGCTCAAGCTCCAAGCACACCCGCGCGGGTTCCGAAATCCGTCCGATTGATCACCCCGTCGCAAGTCAGCGGCGCACCGCCGTCCCATGGTACCAGCGGCAGCAGTAGCAGTATGACGAATAATAATAGTAACAGCAATTATAGTAAAAACGGCAGTAGTAGCCATCATACTAATAACAATAATAATGATAATAACACTGGTAGTAGTATTAATAGTACCAATTGTAGTAAAAGTAGTAATGTTAGTACGCAAGGTCATTTACATGGGCGTGGGCACCACGGAAGTCACCCGCCGGTGACGACAGCAGCGACACCGATGACGACAACTACAACAAACAACCAGCCACGACCATGCGACAACTCCTTAGAGTCGGCGGTCAGCGCCGCAACGAAGGTTGTAAACAGTAATGTTGTCGTACAGAACCTTCCGTATCAGAACTACCAAGGATCGATCTACAAGATGGTCCCAGAAGACGTCATCATGGAAGAGGAGGTCGCCTGAGAGCTCAATGAATGGTGAAACTCCCTCAATGTGAACCTGTTTTTTCTGTTGATGCACGGTAGGACTTCCTAGAAAGGTAGATTTTGTTGATTGAACTAATGTGACTATAGTTTGAGCAACAGACAGTCCTCTCGACTGAAAAAGCAAAACAACAAAAGCGTTATATTTTGTATTAAGAACTAATTGAGTCTTGATAGTAGTTCTAATTCAGTTGCTTTAACAAACCACAATAGACATCTACTCGACTAGGTATCATGCCAGCCCGTGACGGAAAAAAACTGGTTCGACTTGTAGATCTGTAAATGAAACTGTGAAACAAAGCTCTCGCTCATATGAGAGCCGTTTAAAAACTATACATAGTAGATACAACATATATATATATATATATATATATATATATATATATATATATATATATATATATATATAGGTAAGGGAAGCAAAGGAAGCATGAAAAACTAATACATGCATACCCGCCCGGTACATGTCGAAGGATCGAACCAATTAAAAACAAACATGGCCAAGACAGTTAGCTATCTACAAAGTCGGTGGGCAAGTCATTGACAAATAGCCGGAATAGTTATCGGTTCACATTGAAATGAGCATAAGAAGCAATGGGATAAAATAGGCTGTACAGTGTTTTTGCATTATTATAAAAAAAAATCAGTGCGAGATTCGAGGAGTTTGAATGATTAGGTTGGTGAAACAGCGACGTACTCACAAAGAAAGGTATACCAACCGACAAAACAGATTTCAGCATCACATCACCATTCTTCACTTAAAACAGAAATCTGTCATTATCGATGAATGTACGCGAACATTTGGCTATTGACTATACGATTAACACACATGCATACACTCCGGAAGATTTTTGGTCATAAATTCAGTCCGGGGTCCAGAAAACCATTCTCTTCCAAGAGGCATCTATTACAACAAAGAACAGCAGTAACCAGTTAGCCTGGTACATTTCGCATAAAAAGAATTATTACTAGCACACTGTTAGACATACACTCAAATACGAGCGCGAAGTCCTTCTCGCAGAGCTCTCTATAAATATAAAATTAGTATGCACTGAATACGAAGCGATTCCGAGGTCGGTTTGGTTGGCAATTTTGTTGTGGTCGACTGCGAGGGGATTGCAGCGGGAAGTGCGAGAAAATGGGGTGAAAGAAATATTGTAAAGAGGGTCGAAAACGAAGATTGCGGGATAACAGTACTGAGATAATGGTAGGTGATTTATACTATGCGACTCATAACTCTCTAATTATGAAAAATGCGACACGTCTCTAAAAAGCATCGGTCTGACAAGGGTGATAGCACTCTGCGATGCTTCTTTAACTCGTTTGGATTGATGTCATCTGACGAATTTGTAACTCTATGCCGGCGAGATGACGACCGACCCTTTCTTTTCGTTTTGATTCCTTGCCATTGCTCTGTTTTCAAATTTTCGATTACAACATCGTGGTGCTTGCATCCGATCCGGTATAAGTACTCGGTAGTCAATCTGTTAATAGACCCCTAGTGATATAAAGAGGCGGGCATGAGGCTGCTTGCGAAAAAGAATAACGCCTTTAGTCGAGCTTTCATATTTCGAGAAATGAATATTTACGTGCACAAAAATAAAGTTATTAATAACGTGTATTGAACCTACCTGTATTGAATGCTGAAAGCCATACGACCGCTTTGTTATGCTATAATAGTAGTACCAGTCATGCCAGCACATATTGCCTCTCTACTTCTGTGAATATTCAACCAGTAAGAGGAACGATCTAATAAAGGTAAGAAATCGGGAGAATTTTTGTTTCAGAAAACTGCTGTTGAGGTGCTGTTTTGTTTGTGATTCTTTTCTGGATATTCAGAAGTTTACTGAGTAGAGCGTTCGCTCTACCTCATTTACGTTAATAATACTCGGAAAGCCCTTCGCAGTCTTCTTTGTTAGATGGTTTAACACAGTGGACAATAATAGCTAATTGTAATATTATTGGTAAATGACGAAACGGGAAACCCTCTGTATAGATTACCAACCGGTGGAGTAATGACAAAACGATAACAGAGATAATGAATGAATAATATTGACCATTGTCGACTTCGTAAAAGCTAGCTGAGATCATTTTTGTCTCATCTTTCTGCTGATTCGGTGAAACACGCGGCTTGTGTTTGCGGGCACAGAAGAGATGATGCATCGACAGCTAGGAACATATAGACAAGTTTCCCATGAACACAAGAACAACTGCAAGAATTACGTTCGATTAAGGTAATCATTACAAAGAATATTTGTACACTGTATTCGTAATATATATAAAATTCGATGTTAAACTATACAAGATCCTTTCCATTGAGCCCGAAATGGACGCAAAACGCCTAATAACAGTTGGTGGGCAATACATCGGATACGCAGAGTAAATTCTCGTCCCCCTCCGTCGCAAAGTTAAATACCAGTAATAAAATCATTATAAATAAAAAGCATGATGTTCGTTAGAGTCTATATATAACAGGCTATGTGTTGTTAATCCTATAAAGGGAACTAGATATTTTTAAGAGTCTTAATGCAAAAGAAAACATACAAAATATACTTTTATAAAAATAAAATTACGGTTGAAAAAGCAGACTTTTAATTAAAGTGAGAATGGAAATTTATATTAACAGATGCTCATATAGGTATGGAAATTATGGCTACTGGAGTAAATTTATTTTTGTATGGGATGCGACGCTTTTGCGCTCCTTATTGTCTTTTCATTGTCACATAAATGTTCTTGAAGGATTGGTAAATAATACAGAATTCCCTATTGTTATTGACCTTTTGGCATAATTCACTTACGTGTGGTTTCATTTTGACAAATAAGGCTGTAGAGTGGTTCGCCTAATCACTAGACCTGACATAAATTAATTTTTTAATTCAGGGATTTGTGAAAGAGAGAGCCTTTTTTTCAGAAGTCAAGATCCATCTGCAAAGCGGATATTATGGTTGTACCACATCGGTAGTACCATTTGCATCGGTAATACTAAGAAACAATACATTCGTGCACTCTGCGTTACTTACGTCTCTTAGTAACGTCAGGTTTTTCTGTCAGAAAGCAGGTGTATGACTCCTTGTCCCTTTCAGTGTTAACTATAAACTACATTAGCTCAAAAACAAAATCGCCTAAGATAATATAAATAGAGGCTAAATGATGCTTGCTTTGTGTGGCTTAAAGTTGGCGTTAAGGTTGCGAATTTCAGTTCAGCTTTACGCTTCACTCACTCGTAAAGACTTTGTAGCACAGTAGTGGTTTGGTTTTTAAGGAGTAATATGTAACGTTAAACTTCTTTCTTAAACGTGAAAGATACCTTACAGCTATAACTGTGTAAAGTTGAGTTTATCGGAATGTTTTAACAATTATGTTAATGAGACTACAAAAGTTAACGAAAACGATTTTAAAAAGGTGACGTGTGTGTAAGCAGTGCGTTTTTCTCAAATAACATTTTTATGACGAGTTTTATTAACATTTTTATTATAGTACGTTTCTCAGGCGTATTGGCTAAATATTGTTCACTGCAGCTTTATAAAATGGCCTTTCAAAATGCTTTGATTCAAAACAACAAGCGAGAAAGAATTTTGCGACTATACCGATGCCAAACAGGAGCCGCACATATTTCCGGGTAACGTTTTGACGTTATACATAGCTACTTCGTGTCTATACTATTTAGAAAGTATTATCCCTGCCTTATCACAAACCGCTACTTTTCTAGGTTAAAATATATTTGTGGAGTCATTATTTTAACTATGTATTCACCTACTTTCTTTCGTATCCCTAACCGCTTAATAGCATTAACATGATCTTCGATTATTTTCATTATCATTTCTTAAAACATCGCAGCTATCATCCGTAACGTTATTAATAATTATCACCTTACATGATATTGGTCGACGACCTGACGAGCAAATAGACTATCAAGTACGGGGCCCGTGTAGGTCTGTACCATTCCATCAAAGCATTTCCTTAATTATTGCACCTATTGCATTCTTAGCTCGAACACAACAGCCGTTTACGCTGGCACACACTACGAGACGTTATTCAGTACAATGTACTTGGTATAACAGAAGATGTTGTTCAAGCATTACTGAAATGTATCTGAAATTTACCCGCTTTCTTTAATGGCAAATATAACGACTACTTATGTTTATGTAACATATACCTTTAGTAGTACAAGTACCTTACAATAACAGTACATAAGGCTGCGTATTCCATAAAATAATTATTTAAATGTTTGATTTGCCGATTTCAAGTAACACCCAAAGATAAGGACCCTGCGTGAGTACGATAATGGCCAAGTAATTTATAGGAATTTACAGGCGCAATGCAAGGCTTAGAACATTCAACGCGTGAACCGTAAGCGTAGCTTAAATGTGAAAGAAATTAAAACCTATATAGAATTCAAACATTTGCCAGTACAGATACCTCTTACAAAAGTCGTTTGTTTGTTGGACGTGAACACAATCCAGCACTTCTATATATTTAGGATTCAAAGAACTACATTTCCATATAAACAACGTCCAGCTATCGCCCCTAATTTCTAGAAAAGGTTAAGCTACATTCTCTTAAATTCTCCAATCAGATATGCAATAGCTAGTTCAGTTAATGAATTGCATTTTATTTACACTTATGTTTGTTCATGATAAAACACCTTACGGGATTTCGATCTCTCTCTCTCTCTCTCTTACATATATAAATGACCGGTTAACCATTATGGACCTAAAAACGTCTTGCCGAAGTGTCTACGTCTGATCCATCACATTGCATACATAGGCTTGCGTATTCACTATCTTCGTTCACTACTACATGCTTCACCTCGCTTTCACGTCATCAACTGGGGTACATAGCATCAGTATCAATCTAAAACACCACACTTCTCTTATCATTATCATCATGATAAACTAAATTTGCCCAACCCACTTACCGTTTCTTGGTTGTACGCACTTTGATCCTACATTGACAGATCCTAAGATCACTTGTCGTATTCTGCCTGTGTGCGTGGACTATCAGTAGCTACTGAGGTATACTAACTTCTATTATCATGTTATTCTGAATATTAGACATCCAAATATGTATATAAATATATTAGTCCAGCCGTTCATTAACATGTGGGTTCTACTGCTCTTAGATCAATCTAAATTAACAACAACCGTCGACATTTTCAACTCTGTCAATGCTGACAAGATAGCGGTTCGTTCCGATCGAAAAGGTGTCCCAAAGCTTCTTTGCAATCATTTTACTTTTAGTTCTACTTCCCACCGTTTGTTCCGTTCATCATTTGGCTTTTGGCTAGCTTGAAAAGTTCTTCGTAGCACTCTGGAAGCTCCCCAAGCTCCTCGAGCAGCTGCCCGAAGTGTTCGACGTCAATCATGATCTGAAGACGAATTTTGTCATCATCGCTGATTCCTTGCGTGTCGGTAGCGTTCATTTTGCCCTTTTTGAGCCGTCGCAATGAATCCTCCATCTTGCGTACTGAATCGAGAACGTCACGGGTTGTTACTAAGAAAGCTTCGGCCATCCCTTGCGCCATTTGCGCCGACCACTCGGAGTCCCAATAGCCCGATGTCGATGCACGACAATTAAGAACTGGCTTAAGCATGGTGGCCACGAACGCTGACGGCATCTTTGGTATATCGCGATTCGTGCGGCGATATAAACGTGGAATATCAGATATCTGTTTGACGCTATTCTGGGCCAACTGAACAAGCAGAGAGGCGGCAGCTCTCGCCAAGCTTTCGCGACAAACAGCCAACCGCTCGACTGAATCATTGAGACACAAAATAAATAATTCCTTCTCTTCGAATGTTAAAAAGTTGTCACAACAGGTGCACACGGATTCAATAGATACCTGATGGCAGTCAGCGGCCGCTTGAAAAAGCATCAACGCACTGAGCTCGCCTACTGGGTGCGTCACTTTGGCGTACTGCTCGAGAAACGTCGTATACCGGGCCAGTAGCTGAATTGTCAATTTTAAAAATCTAGGCTTTAGTTCTGCTATGTACACGCCATCCGACCAGCAATAGCTAATTTGTTTATAAAGATTCTCTGTAACATTTAACAATGTCTGCTTCTTACTGAAGGGTTCGTTACCCTTCAAGAGAGCAGTTTCAAAATTTGTGGCAATTTCCGTATAACGCAACTGAAAGTAGATACCCGTACTCCATCTTTCCATAAACGCTTTATACGACTCACTAGAGCGAAAGATCTGTACGGACTGCTCGGACATATGGTGCTCGAGCGTTTCAAGGAAACGCAGTGCCTCGTTGTATCGCACGTGGAACATTGTGGCCGAAGTTAGGCTAAACAATGTTGGAATACGGCTTTCCGCCAAGGCTACAAACACGGGAAACACACTTCGAGGGATAAAATTATACTCAGGTGGTGCACAGTTATTTAGCAAAGCAGTATTTGTTGTAATAAACATCACAATCTGATTAAATAAACCATCACTTAGAACCTCACGGAGCACGCGTTCTGTAACAATCTCCTCAAGAGTTGGCTTGACAATGCGTTCCGAATAAAAGGTTTCTAAAAAGGCGACTAGATCCACTGCCACGCCAACCTGAAGAACGTGTTGGAGCTGCGCATCGTCATGACCTTGAAGTGCTTCCAATAGTCGCTCTTCAAGATAGCCTTTAAGCTGTTTGCGAACGTTGCTAATGGCTTCGTCGGACTTCCGCGCCAACGGTATGTCCTTACAGCGTTCCAAAGATGAACTTAAGCTTTGGATTTGGCTGGCTGTACGTTCGACGAGATCCGGGGTCCACATCTGATCTTCCTGCGGAAGTTGCTGAACCCCCCGATATACGTCCATAGCCAGTAGAATTTTCCCCCGAAGTTGACGGTCTTGTTGACGCTGAGCCAGTTTCTCTTCGGTTTCCTGGAGGGTGGCATCGATTATTTCGCTGATTTCGCTAACGTCATCCCGTAGTTTATTCAGTGGCAGCGAAATGTTTCCGATATATTTTTCCAAGCCGACAAGGTTCGATGACAAGTTGACGAAGTCAGTGTAATCATTATTAATCAATTCGACAAGGCACTCCTGCAGGTATTTCAGATGTGAACGAAGATCGTGCCGGAGCTGTTCAAGGCCAACAGCTTTACGCTTCTCGGATACGAACTGGTCTACTGAGAAGTTGGGATTAAAAAATATCTCTCTCTCGAAACACAGCTCATGGCCAGCGTCCTCCAGGAACGACGCCATCTAAAAGGATACAAGCAGAAGAAAATGTCGAGTTGTTTTTCTCTGGATTAACTATTAGATGGACAGTGGTCGTTCTTTTATCGAGTACCTTTGACGTAATACAAAAAGTGCAGCGCCTATGGTTGTTTATTTACACTGCAGTATTTGATAATAACAAAACATTGATTTGATTACACTCAAATTAGGAATCCAATGCTAAAGATAACAGCTGGTATCTAATTATAATATTATAGTTAATTCCACAATCATGCTTGTGCATTAACTTGCGTGCTAACACGTAACTTAGCACACGTATCGTCTCAGACTTCTTAGTAAGTTGCTGTGGTTTGATTCAATTGTTCTCAACAAAACTTCTTTGATACTTTATCAATCATAATTACTAGTCAATGTATACAATTCCTTGCTGAGCTTTGAAAAAACGTAGTACCGTTTAGTCCAAGTTGATCGAATAGTTATTTATCTCCCAAAAAACATTAATATTCATCATGTATCCCATCGGAGTCTGTGTCCTTCATTTCGAAAATCGATTTGTAAGTAAAGTGACAAATATTTTACTGTAATTGACATGTCAAGGTGGTGCTTATTCTAGTATTTCGGATATCGTCAAATCTCAATAAAAAAAGAGTGGTAATATTACAAGAGCACTTACAATCGGGCCCTCCGGCGCTGTTGCGCTGTCCTAGTTCAGATCACATGCAGGAGTTGTTTTTCGTCTACGGCATAATTCTCCGTGTGTACACGTACGTTTTTGCGGATTACACTCACATATGTGAATAGAACTTGCAACGCTGTATACAGTTCACTGTGATACTCCCGGCTGCCAAAAGGTGGGCTAGCCGAGCAGTGTTGACGTGGGAGCAATAACATTAGATAAAAACATTCGAATTTATCGATCACTACCATCATCGTCCTCTTCGCCAAAGCCGTCTGCTCGCCAAATGATCTTACTGACAAAACGTCTTCATCCGAAATGATATCGATGATTTATGGCATCTAGGATGCGCAGACTATGCTTAAGGGCGGTCTGGTACACCAAGCCAGAAAAGAGAGGTATGCCCACACCGACAATAACTGACATCATTTTTTATTTATATTATTAGTTTTGGTTATCTCGGTTTATTAGTACCTTGTAATTGTGAACTAACATGAACTTCTGCAACAACCGTCCTTATATGCAGGATGCATTGCGCATTGGATGTTACAAATTATGCCGTCTTCGCCATTATCGACAATATGCGTAGCATATTACCACGAATAATCCTACTCAGCTCTTTGCTCGTTTTATCCTACATTATGTGTAGAAACCGCAGTAGGTTCATCCGAAAATATATTGAAATTTAAATCATTTCATTGAAATACTAGTGAAAAAAGATATTGGTTAATACTCTAACAGCTGTAGACGCTTAAGCTCAAATCGTGTGGCATGGATGCGCTTTGATTGTCACTTTAGTCGCTATTTCATGGCAACATATATCGGTACCATATTTTTGAAATCAAGATTATTTCACCGGCCATAATTACGATTTGGAAAAATTTTCGTCACCGACGTCGACGAAAAGACATTCGTAAGTGCGCTTTCACGTTATAATCTGTTAGACAAAAAAATCCCGAATCTAAAAAAAATCCGATCGATACCTATTTTTCTTGTGAGTATTCGAATGAATTGCACAAAAACCCAGAGACCAATCATTAGATGAGCAAAAGATAATAGGAACTTTATTTGGCTACGATATTTACTAAAATTTTATTAAAAGTGCGCAAGCGAATTCCAATCATTCTGTAGTTTTCAATAATATTTTATAACGCCGCAGTTCTTAAAAAAAATAAACATTTACGAAATGCATTTTTGGTGGAAGCGCCTTGTAGCTGAGCTGCATTACTACTATCGTTTTCAGCGAAGATAACTTTTTAGAAGATAAGCGAAAAAAAGAATTTTAAAAGTTATCGAAAGAAACAGGCGTTTCTACAAGCCAGTATACCAAACCATTAGTACCAGTAATTTTTGCTAAATTAACTTTCGTACCCCTATGGACGCCCCATACAGTATCTTCCTTATAAGCCCCAAACCTTTCAGTGTTATCAATACGTGTCTTCGAAGAATACACTTTTGCATTGTTACCAACAGCTGTATTAAAGAAAACATAGTCGCAAAACTAACCAATAAAAGTTCTTCAAGAAAATGTCGAATATTTTCTCGTTGATGCTATTTGTCGCTGACGGCGCCCACGAACAGTGTTCGTATCTGTTTTCGTGTACTTATCACAATACTCATTGGCACTCTGTTCTTTATTAATAACCATATGAATTTTAGCTGAAGTAATTTTCTACGTATGTAAAACTGAGCTTAAACCTAAAATTAAGCTAATTTATGTCGATCAGCATTTTTCTGTTGCGTCATGAATAAAGCGAACAGAAGATAAAAACATATTCCGACGCCTTCGTCTCATGTGCCTGCGTCATCTCATATTCTTACCTAGATATTACACAGTAAGTACCCAATATATCGACTTGTATTACATTTATTTCGGAGATTTTTCTTCTATGGGAGTATTCGTCTTAGTCAACACACCATAAAGATTACAGTTGCAGTTTTTCTGCGCCAATCAATTTACATTGATGACATTATACCGGCATCCCACAACCTATCGCAAATATAAATGGGGTGCCAGCTATCGATTGTAATGGGTATAAATTAGACTTTATTTACAACGACCTCCATTGTCAGCTTGCCCACCTTTTCTTGTAAGTCGGAAAAGTCTTTCGACTTGCTTGTTGGGCGACCTAGAACAGTCCTTGTGCAGAATTATCAAGGTACCCTTGAAGATGAATGGTCCATTTAATCACCACAATCATCCCGTTACAGTTGTTATATCCGAATAGAGCTATTGCTGCATATAATAATGCATTAATGATAACAATAATAATTATTGTTATTATTATTATTATCATCGTTGTTAATAATAAAAATGACAATTCTCACAATATCTGTAACATTGTGTCCGTCTAAAGACGAAACATGATACGACGATGCTCGTGCTTAGTGTTTATCAATACTTGTGATAGATACTTGGCCAATCCAGCTTCATGGCCCTTGTTTAAAACAACATCGAGTTCGGATTAACATCTCACCAATTTCCGAAGTACAACATTTAGACGGGCTGGCTTACAATGAATGCATGAAGTTGATACTACTGTTTAGCTCGCCTGGCAGCTAACTCCTGGACCCTGGGGCCCGCCTGCGAACATTCTCGGATGCCCGTCATCTTCATCGTAGTCTTCGCGCATCCGGTTACGCCGCTCGCTCTCTAAGTCGACATCCTCCATGTGGACCTCCTCGGCATCGGAAGTGATCATCACTTCCTCTCGCTTCGGCAGCAGAGCTTCTAGTTTACTGGCAACTATCGGACTGATTTTTTTCGGGAAGATAACGAGGAATTGAATGATGAGTTTACCTTTAACAAACGGATCTCGGTACACTGGCATACCTTCGTTATTAATGCATTTAACATCGCCATGTTTGATCACATCGCCCGGCAACTGGGTGATAACAAGTGTTCGGTTATCAAGCGTTTTGATTGGCTTTTGGAACCCACATAGTGCCTCTGTTAAATTGATCTCTAGGTTCAGAAACAAGTCGTTATTTTTACGTCGGAAATGATCGTGGTCCTTTTCGTCGATAACAAAGATAATATCACCAGGTTCAAGGTCGGGCTCCTGATCACCTTCGCCGGCAAACGTTACTTTTTGGCCCGCTTCCATACCTTTGTCGATGTGCACATCGAGAATCTTGCGCTCCTGTACAGTTTTGGCACCATCGCAGGTGGTGCAACGGTCCTGCGGAGCACATTTCTCTCCTTGACCCCGGCAGTCTTCGCAAACATTTTGAGTCTGTTGGATCAGACCGGGACCAATGTGACGTGTTCGTAGAACCCGACCTTGTCCACGACATGTTCGACACTGTGTCACATTTCGACCACCGCGACCCGAGCAAGCGCTACAAAGGACATTTTTCTTCAAGGCCAATTTGCGTACTGATCCATTATAGAGTTCCTCAAGTGACACGCTAAGGGTATGCACTTTATCGCGGCCTTTGTTGGAACGGCGTGACCCGGACGCAGAGCCGAAGAACAAATTGAAGATGTCAAGTGGGTTATGGAATCCTTCACCGCCAGCTCCGCCACCCTCCTTGAGTGCCTCTTCGCCGCCTTGATCATAAATTTGACGCTTCCGTTCATCTGAGAGAACCTCGTAAGCTTGTGCGATGAGCTTGAAGCGCTCCCCTTCGTTCGGATTTTTATCCGGATGATATTTGAGAGCCATTTTCCTGTAGTAAGGCAAATATGTCATATTAAATTTAAAGGTCAAGCAACAATATTGGTCTTGCTTAAAATCAAAGAACTAATTTAGAGTTAACATACATCTAACGCAAATTCAGTTTCATATTTTAAGTAACTAGGCACAGGATCGTAACTATAAACGATCGTTTGCATGGTTTAGTCTTCAATCCACAAGAAAAAATCAAGAGATCCTTTCTGTTAGCTAGTGCTACTGTCAACAAGCTGTCAATATATGCTGCCTATAAGCGACAGCAATTCTGCACCACTGCTTGCAAAGTCACGCGTTCAATGCCGCCGTTGATCTGTACTAAGGCCCTATTATTGTGAATGTTCTAGTCGGCGAGGGCGCTCCCAGAACGGTATTAGCCGCTACACAAAAAAAGGTTTCCCCAGCATCTCAGAGGCAAGAAAGAACAAGATGGCCCGTGGATATCTCGTTCTGTTTACCCCTCAGTTACAGATGTCGCTATAAGCTGCACAGTATCTTGAGGTTGCTTATGAATATTGCTGCAAGAATTTTTCCTGAGACGTACTTGCTCGACAATTGCGACCTATCCTGTTCTTCGTGAACAAACAACGCCATAAAACAACCCGTTAACACTACCATGACTATTTAAGCAATGCCATGCCACATCAGCATTAAATCACCCGAACAATCAATAATTGGCTACTGTAATATCATTGCGTGATATATTGTACCTTAGCGAAAATGGCCATGTCTACGAAAATTTACATGAAGAGCATTTATGAATATGAACAAAGTTTTGCATTATGTAACAGTAAAATAAATGCGGCATTGTCCAATCCTCACATACATTTACATGGTCCTGCAGACGACTAATGCTTTTTGCTTGCACTAATATGTATAACTGCATCCTATAACACAAAAAATAGATATTCTATTGAGCGTTGATATTAAAGTTAAATTTTGCAGAAGCATTTAACGGCTGTACTCGTATGGCAAAGGGTGAAAAAACGCTGATATCTTTACAAACAGTGCCTTACGAATGATAGCAACCCTTTGCCACTAACCATAATGCCCCTAGACGGTAGCGCCTAGAAGGACAGATCACCTGGCAGACTTTCCAGAGTGTTCGAATACGGTACGCGCACCTAGTGTACACATGTTATATATAGGTAAATACACATATATCGGCAAAGAAGTAGCATTATTAGCGACAGTAAAACTGTCAGCTTAAAGAAAGAGCTCATAATGGCTATCAGGTACCACAGGAGTTAATGATGTTCGTATCGAACTGGAGACGGAGTCTCAGGGATTTGTCGGTGGTTCGCGAGTCTTTACTTTTCATACGGCAGCCCCTCTGGCAGGCAATGGCAAAATGCAAACGGCGACGACCTAATAAAATCAGATGTAATGTAACCTATATTTATTCCCCACTTACTTGTATGCTTTTTTGAGCTCATCAGGCGTTGCGTTAGGCTTGACGCCGAGCACATCGTAGAAAGCAGTTTCCTTGACCATCGTGAACGGGTTCGAAGCTTTAGACCGAAGAAAACACTATACACACGCTCTCACGGAAGCCTTGGCGAAATATGACGACGCCGACCCTGTGCAACGCGCGAGGACTACTAGTTCTGAAGCTTCGAGAAAATTCGAAGATTCCACTAAACCGACGGAACACGGAAAAAACGGAGTGGGTCGGCTCATTAGGTTTAGTTCCGAAGATAGAAATGCTTAATAAGTTCTATGCTAGTACATGCAAAAAGTAAGTGGCATGCGTATACGTATTTGCGGTATACGCTCGTTTATCATTTGTGCTTTTATCGAAATATTCCATCTTTCTCATTAGTCTAATAGAATATCTTAGAACATATCGAACATCCTTATTCGTCGGAAGATCCACTATCCTTGAAGTTTGGAACGTAGGGCTTGAAAGAGAGAGGCCTATTGTGCTGTCTCTGATGTGTGTGGGTTTGTGCGTGTATATGTGTGTCAATGCATATATTATGTTTCAATAGTTTTTTTTGTAATTTACTTCTGCTGTTGTTGCCGGCGCTGTGACACTAACATCTGATCGCATGGGAGCAACGTCTGAATTTGGCAACAATTGACTTGTAAGTAATTAGCGCAATGAGAGTAGTGTATCGATGTTTTTTGAAGTTGTTCGCGGTGTTAAAAGGTCTTGTGATAAGCGATACTTCAAACAAAGAAAAGCAGAAGATTCTGCTAGTCGGATGTTGTATCTAGACGTTTTTTGAAAAACCGATTTTTTTATATTCTTTGATAGGTATAATTATGTGCATGGTTTGTATAAGATTCTTGTCGAAGCTTACTCACGCGTATATATGTCAGAAAGCCGTAGAAACGTATAATATGTAAAATACACTTAAGGTTTTTAATATGTTGAAATGTGTTAGACTGAGTCTTGGCATTGTTTCAGACTTGACAATCATCGTAAAATGTTCAGAACTTCACTGAGTCGTAAAAAGTAATAATGCTAAAAAAAAACTTAAGGATCGCGATCTCTATATATAAATGTATATATATAATATATATATGTCCTCCCACCGTATTAATTGCTATCGCCTTTTGCAAATCTCTTGGTTTCTCGCGCATTTTCTAGACATATATTATTGTAATATCAGTGAAGCTCGTTAATCATTTGCTTCGTGTCATGTATGTTACCTATCGGAGATAATAATTATAGTTCTCAGTCTATTGAAGCGATAGACGGGCTGCTATTTGGTGCTACAGTTATACATCAGGCATCGATACAGAATTGGCACGACGTCTTAGAATAAATATTGAAGGGAAGATCAGTTATCTTAATAACCATGTACAAAATAATAATAGGTATCAAAAGTTTTCTGCCGTGATCCGAGGTTGCTAACTTATTTTCAACATAAATTAACTTCGATTGATTTGGTTTGTAGAAGACACTGTCTGTTTCTGAACCTTGAATTCGCTCTGTGAAATGTCGAGCGATGCGGCAGGATTTTCTCGCAAGCGAGTCCGTCGTGTCATCAATAATCCAAACCCGTTGTTCACACAATGGCTCCGCGAGTGGCAGGACGAGGCTGCGAAAGCTGGCACGCACGCGAAAAACACGTATACAAAGGCGCTGCAATCACTTGCCAAGTTTCCTATACCGCTGTCGAGTGGCAAAGATTGCATTATCCTCAAGCATTTTGGACAAAAGATATGCGACATGTTAGATAAGAAGCTAATAGAATACAGGGGATTGCATCCTGAGTGGAGGCCTCAGTCGGTGGCAGTACCATCCCCAGTATCCAATGGTTCGGCAACAAATGCTAAACTCAGGCAAACCAAGAAAAATTCTCCCAGAAGCCAACCAAGCATTAGTAATGGGTCGGTAAAGGAAGCACTGCTTACTTGTGGAGACGCTAATCGTTCGATAAATACAACTAGAACGACTTCGGCTACGCAGCCGCCGATGAAAAAGCATGCGCATTTTGCAAGTCTTAAGGTTAACTTTAAGCCTAAGCATGGACGTTTGGAAACCGCGAGTTTAAAGCCACCGGGGCTACTATCGGTGTCCAGTCCTCCAGAACCGAATACATTTACCGACGAAGAATATCAGAATACTGGTAACGGAGTTCATCAGCCTGTAAGTCAACAACTACTCGTCGGTGTGGACGTATTCAGAAGGGAAGCCTTATCTTGTGATTTGGCACAAAAGCCAAAATTAACATCGAAACGTCAGAAAACTCCGAAAGAGCCACAAGTGATCGATCTTTGCCTAGACAGTCCAGAACATAAACAAGCATCTGATGATGACGACAGCTTCTTGATACCTTTATCAAAAAGGTTGACAGTTGACAGGATGAACTGTAAGTCGAAGAATCTCGAGGAGTACACTAGTGTACAAAAACTAACTCCAGTATGTCCTCCCCCAGCTAGTGGCAATGACAGCGATTGTGTTGCTCAATATGAGAGTGATGACGATGCTTGTCTCAAAATTGATGAACGTTTAGCTTCGTTAAAAAAATTATTGAGCCCCGTTCTCGTTAGCACAACTCATAAACCTGAGTCAGAATACGTTGAAATAGTGCAGAAACACGAGTCGATTGAACCAATCGAAAATGTACTAACTCAAGAGGATAGTTTTTGTCCTGCAAAGCCTGTAGACAGTATACCCGAAGAATCCATACTTGATATGTCGATAGAAATCCGGCGGAAGCGTCAAGGTTTCCTGGCTGAATTGGACGCGAACACTCCGAGGGCAGCGCCCAGGCCGAAACCTACAATTCTGGACTTAGCTGATAGTCAACCAGCGTCCCCAAGAAATCATGAAAAATTGTTGATCTCGCTAAATCGAAGTACAGACAGCATTCCGATGCAACCGCTTAACTCAGTACTCCACTCGCACCACAATAGCCAAAAAAGACTAATAACTGTTAAGGAGCCTGAAACAGTCTGTATCTCACCTGAGCCGCCGTCTCTTTCATCTCAGCCAAAAACAAAGCCCGTCTACGTGCATCATCTATCTGACAGCGATGATGATTTGCGCCCTTTATCACTAAGAGTTAATCGACAGGTGGCTAAACCTTTTCCTAAGAAAACACTCTCAACACCAGAGGAAGATTCGTTTGATGTGCTCGTCGGCAGCATTGATACTCCGCCTGTATCGCGTACTAACAAAGATGAATACTCCAGCAAATCGTCGGATTCTGAAGTCGTCACTGTTACGGCAGTAAAGGTTAACAAACTTGAGATTATAAGAAAGAAAACAGTTACAGGTAATGACGATATGGGTTACTCTGGTTCAGCTACTGTACCTACTGAAGAACCTCAATCAAGAAAGAAAGGCGAGTTATTTAATGTTTTAGCAAGTGTTATTGTTTTACGTGTGCAAATTTCTTAAAACTTCTTAAATTGGATAGACCTTATCGCATGAATCGCGTGAAGGAAATCGCATGAATCGAAAACCTATTTTTATAATCGTTTTTGTTATATTTGGCAGGCCGTTCAAGGAAGGATAAAGTCGCTTGTCCTTTTGTTCCTTTCCCTTCAGCTCCGCTTCACCTTGAGTATATTCCTGAAGGTTCTTGTCCTTCTCAGCCAGTCTCATCGGCATTGAATGACAGAACATCCTGTTGTCCACTGGCTCTCACACTTTTGCCCGGTACTTTCGAAATAGTTCTCTGTGTGGACAGTTGCGAGGCTACCGGTGGTAAGTAACATTAGCAACGCGGTAGAGTAGTTTAACATCTCGTCTACTATTTGGCAACATCATATTTTATAACCAATTTGAGGTTGATGCAATGTGTGATGATGAGGTTAATAAGTAACTGGAAGAAGTGGGCTTATTTTCAAATGGGGATCAAAATGGGTACGTGCTATATGAAGAAGTGGATTTTTTACCTTAAATATTATCAGCTGAGGGATCTGAATACATTTGTGCTTATTTGTGCATACTCCAACGATAATTTTTACTGGAATATAGTTATTGGTTGTCGAAATAAGGGTGTCAACCGTGATTCAAATTTATCTTTTAGAGCATTATTTTTAGCTAAATAAATTCGTTTATTATATTTTTCAGGTGTGATGTCAAAAAAGAAAGAGGCAATGATTGAAGCCTTGCGCAATTCTGGGGTAGCGATAAACATTAGAAAAATGAACGTAGGAGATTATGCATGGATAGCAAAGAGAAGCGATAAGGATGAGCTCGTGTTGGATTGTATCGTTGAGCGTAAGCGCACCGATGACTTGGCGTCTTCAATCAAAGATGGACGTTACCATGAACAGAAACACCGTTTGGTGACCTGTGGTATACGTCGAAAAATCTTTTTGGTTGAAGAGCACCATCGCTTTGCAGCGGGCGGCATCTCCGATCTTGCGCTGCTCCAGGCGCAATTGAATACGCAAATAATTGGTGATTTCATCGTAAAACGCACTCCAAATGTCAAAGCGAGTGCACAGTATCTAGCGGCACTGACGCGCGCACTCGGCCAACGTTACAGACAGCGGGTCCTGAAATCATGTTTAAGAGAAGAGGTTGGTAAACTTTCTGATGATCACCTGATGAGCTGGCAGGAGTTTAACGAGTCAAGTATGAAGCGGCGTAAGGTGTGCATAAAACAGGTGTTCACACGCTCCCTTATGGTGATGCGAGGAATGTCGTTGGAGAAAGCGCTCTCAATAATTTCCGTGTATCCGACTATGGTCTCACTAATAAGTGCCTATGAGAAATGCGACGAGTTAAAGCAGAAGGAAGCACTTCTAGCTAACGTCAAATGTTCAATAAGTGGAAGGAGACTGGGTCCGGCATTAAGCAAAGCTGTATATAAATTTGTTTCGGGCGAATAGGCATAGAGAAGGAAATCGCATAAAGAAGCACGAGTTAATTCAACTATTATTAAAAATGTGCGTTTGTACATACTTTGTACTTCAACAGGGTGAATTACGATTCTAAAGTGTATATTGGGTCGAATCTGCTTGAGCTGGACGTGGGTATCTCGTGTAATATATAATGTATTAGAGTGATATAGTACATTGTATGTGGCCAACTGTAAAAGATTGCATTTTTATTATGTTTCCTTATATTTCTTATATATTCCTTATATAGACACGGTCTATAGATGACTACAAGGAATGGTACTTTACCGTGTATTACAAAATGAATATATCTATTGTAAGATAATCCAATAAAAATCGAAAAGTGAAGTGAAAAAAAGTAGCTAAAATGACTTTAAAAATTTATAAAGAAAAATGGACTCGTAATTGTAGCGTTTCGCCATATTAACCTTTATGTATGTGTAAGCAAACGCATGTTTCAAATGAAGTGGGCGATTTTACGTAGAGCTGAATTGGTTTATTGGCTTAATTTGCCATTTAGAATTTAGAGCTCAACATTTGATTTGATGCCAGTGTAACTATAAAGTGTGATCTTCAGCTTTGCTGTAATATTATTTTGGTTCTTTTCCCAATGCGAAATAATCGAAAGAAACGTTAAACTCTGGTAAGAAGGAAAAGTTTGACATAGGTTTTTGGTATATTATGTGGAACAAAAAGTGCCGAATTTCACGTTATCACTGCATCATCACGGAGTCTCTGTTCCACTAAGATTCTTGGCTAAAAAACGTTCTGGAGACCTCATCCCGGCAATGGCCATGCAATGCTATACAAAAGTTAGTGGAGAGATTGTCAAACAAGGATGTAGTTGGCCAATAGGAAAAAATCCCGAAACTTAATGGACCCCTCAGCAAAAAATACATATTTATATACATTTCAACGACAATTAGTGCTTACCATAGTAATACGAGCAGCAGTAAAACATAAAAAGTAAAAAGTTCGTATGCTAGCGGCTATGACAGAAGCTAAAAGTACACCTTCCATCCAAAGTTAATGTCAAAAGAGACTGCTTGGAGATTAAAGGTAGTTATTTTTTAAAGTTAGCGAAGCAGTTCAGCTATACGTCATTTATTGCTTGATATAATATTTAATGTGTTTATATAGTAACAGCGAAAATGTATAGTGTTTGAACACTGCAAGTCTGGTTCGTAAAGGTTAAGATCAACAGCAAACCCGGCATTAGAGGTCAATTTGACAGCTTGCGTATTTTCTTAAAAGTTCACGTGCTTAAGCATTACCACATCTCCATCTCTACTTTAAGCGCTATGACACCCTCATCTCTACGCTTCACACCATCAAAATGCCACTTAAATCTTTTTTTAATGATAATAATAATAGTTTAAAAAAAAATCCAACCGCGCGCGGTTATAAGTATACAACAAGCGTTGCTGGATCTAGTATTAAGGACGATATCTTGACTAGCAAGAAAAAATTGCCATTATTTAGTATCTCTTAAAAAATACTCTGAAATTGTTATCGTGAATTTTAAAATACTTTTTATAGTATGATCATTGAAGCACTTTGGATAAATGCTGCCTTTATACCAAAAATTAAGCTTGCAAAACTGAGCGAATTTGGCTTAAGCGAAGTTTGCTTAGTTCGCAAATTCGCCATACATTTTACAGGTCCCGTTCTGGAAAGGGTATTCGACATTGGTTTGCAACCTTTGATTTAATTGTTGACCTTTAAACGAACAAACAAAAAAGTTATAATGGAGCTAGGACAAAGGTATTCTAATAAGGTTTTTAATAATTGCAAACGGATGCTGCGTGCTGTATCAACTCGGTTCTGAGTGTTTACTTTGTAAGCTTCTTTACAACAAAATTGAAAATTGTCTACTTAATTTTTAGTTCTTCTATTCTTTAGAGCCGCTTGAAAAAAACTTTGAGACAAAGTACTAATATAATACTTAAATTATAAGAACACTACATATGTACGGCTATTTCCAAAGAAGCCCTTAAATTAATACCATTCTCGTCAATACATTGCTGATAAGGGTAAGCTACTGAATCGCAAACTTACAAATATTCAGTTTAGTGCTATAGCGCATATTTGTGGCTTTTAACCTCTAAGTATTGTCGGTTGTCTAACATAGATCATATCTTTAGATCATCTCAGCAAGAAAAGCCATTGGCGTCAGGTATGAAGAACAGGCAGGGTATTCTATAAAATCTTTGTTCAGTTCATCGGTTTGGAAAATCCTCATCAAGATATTATTGTGTGACAATTATAGCATGGAAAGAAAATTTGCTATCCTCGCCAGTCGTTCTAAATACATGGTAAAACAAATCACCAAGGTAATTCAAGCAACTAGCACTAGTCGCCGTATCGACAAAACAGGTTGGTTTAATTTATCTTTTCCGTGAAATGCCGTACCACACTGTAATTCCTATTAAGATTACATGGTGTTTCTGCAATTACGCAATTATGTTGATATATTATGTCATTTAATTTGGATCTAATTTCACCTCTCCAACTAATCTTTTCCGAAAACTGAAATTTCAGAAATACCGTTTTAGATCATCTTCATTGATACGTATGTAACATCGTTGGAATGTAACGTTTTTAATTTCAACACCTTAAAACACGATGGATAGTTGATTTACAAATGCAAAGTTCACGCCTTAATTTTGTCAGAGATTTTCGAAATCTTTCGCTTCAACTTATTAGCACTCTTTTAGAATCGTAAAGCTTGTTGGTGTTGTTAGTCTTCTGAAACGCTGTTTATGAACATCCAAAACAGCTTCATCCGTTTCAATTAATTCCGTTCAAATTAATTATAGGTTACGTAATTTGCCTGAAACTTCTCACGATATTGTCTTTACGCCGTTGCTATAGTTTCATATTTTTTGAAATAAATTTTCCATTGAAAAAAGAAAGAGCCATCAGAAGGTTATGAGTTGAACAATACATACATGTATATATATATATATATATATATATATATATATAATTTAAATTCTGAGAAACAATTTAAGGTACTTTATTTTTAACTATTTAACTTGAACCTCAGGAGAAATGTTGAATCGGCCTATGAATACTCAGCTTGAAAACTGTTACCGTTTCAGTCTACGGTACACACACATACACACCACTCAGTTTAGCTGTACGCATTCTAGGATCGCGATTTTGAAATCATCTTTTTTTAGCTGACCTTTTCACGAAAACTTCTTCTCGAAGTCCCATCCATTGATTATATTCATGTTCGCTTAATTTTGTGAATTTGTGAACAACGGGGTCGACTACAACCTATCTTGTTTTCTGTTTATGGTCTACGTTGGCACTAACCTTTTTTCATTCAATGGAAAGAAATCCAGAAAGAAAGGACTGTTAAGAAGCTACCGTTTGTTACCAGGATTACCTTCCTATGAATTCAGATGGTGTTAGATTTCTAGACTGGATATGGCGATGACGCATAACTAATCATTGCTACAGACGTCTTGTTTGCCTGTTTTAGAAAAAAATATAGAATGCATTGCTTAAATACGTATGCTTAAAGTTTCAATACAATACTATTACTCGTTTTTTATTTGTGTAATCCGCCATAATCTTGCGACACAGGCGGCGTTGGAAACTAATTCGTTTACTCTGAAGCTTAGAAAACACAAAACAAATAAGACTGTATTGTCATGTGGGCCAGAAGAAAAACTTCGAAAAATAGGGATTCTTGTATTTATATTGAAATAATGAAATCTATAAGTAAAGTGCTAAAAGCAAGAATATCTTTTCATTAAAAACATAGTAATTTACATGTTTACTGTTTAATCTCTTGAATGTTTTTGCAATGCGTTTTTTTGTTCGAGCACATTTCCTTTTCCACAAATGGTGATTACGCTAACATTATCTACACTACAAGCTGGAAACAACGGAATCTGTTATTTTTATCCTGAAACTCTCTGATGACCTATCATCTGATAGACAAGTGCTCCCAATATCTGCATAGCCAAGTTAACCGCTAAACTAACCGATATGCTGTTACTAGCATTATGGTATTTAATCGCCCTTCGTTTTAAGCGTATTTTATTCAGAGCAGAAAGGAAGAGAGGTAACTAAGCTAGACCGATGATTGTGGCAGTTCTGAAGGTATGCTTGACACCTCACAGGAGCGTGTCTCACTTTCATAAGCGAATAGGCTACGATTTTCAAAAATTATCCTTTTTCATAAAATGGTATTAATGTAATGATGGTCTTTGCTTTATTAGTCGAGTATTGTGTTTATTGTATGATCACTCGATATTGAATATTATTATATTATCGAAATGAGATTCGATTTTGCAGAATGTTAGTGGAAATTTAGATGAATATAGTTATTTTCAATCACTAGCTCGTTATCGGTTCTTAAAATATTAACTTAGTTTCTGTTATGTACTATTAACGCGGCAATTTTAAACGATTTAATTTAGAGGTGAAGTTTGTTAAAGAGTTTTAGCGCAGCAAAAATATTATGCGCAACATGGAGAAGCTTCTGGTTTAAACATTATGGACAAATGTATACTGCAAATAGTTGTTGCTTAAAAAGATACTTATTAGCTTTTTTTTAACTTTTTGGGTAAGTTGCATCACAAACTTTAACACTAAACACAGCAAGCGCTGACAGTACACTAGAAAAGAAGTACGTTTCTTTAATAACGTTTAATGCAAAACGCGATACACAAAATCTGCATTTGCTAATTAGGATGATACGAATTGTATGCTATAATCGAGTAACGTAGCGGTAAATGTCCAAATGGCGACTATCTCTGCCTGCTTGGTTTAAATTTTTTTCTTCTGTAGGCGTCTAAGAAAGTCAACAGTTCTATTCATTATCGCAGTTGTTCATTTAGCAACCGTCCGTGGGACGATTCAATCGTGTCTAAAGGCACGAATAAGCTTTGTAGTTAGCAGTGTTCATCAACTTCGCCATGAGTGTATTGTACCCTAAACGCTAAGTAAAGATATATCTTTGTAATACAGGACATTTTAAGAGCATCCGTAAATTAATCCAGGCTTTTTTTTTGAACACTTTGCACACGGATCTCTTCATTCGTCTTCATATACTAGTAACACGGTTCTTCATCGTTGTGGATTGCGTTACGTCTACTTCGAACATGTTTGGTCCGCTACCCACGGTATGTATTGGAGACAGATGAAGATTGCGGAAATATTTGAATTATATCGATATTGATGTTATTGCGTTACTATCGTTGCCTACAGATAGTGAATCATCACATGCAACGTAAGGTTTAGAAGTACAACCGGAATGTTATAGTTGGCGCAGTCAAGGCTGAGTGAGAGCGTTGGCATATAATTAAACGTTGTCGCCACTAGGGATTGAGTCACACATTACCATTATAGATATGAATCAGTGTATGGAACTTCAGCTTTTAGAAGGATGCCGATACATGAGCTGTGCATAACGCATATTTTAGGGGAGAATGACCCATATACGTGGCAATATGGTGCGAGTTCTGAAAATAGTGCTCTTATAGAAAACAGGTTAATGACTTAAAGTTGGTATTAGCACTATTTCTAGAAATACTGTGATGGTTCCGGTTGTATTTACCGTTATATAAAAGTGTTCCGCTTTTCATCATAGGTCATTTCAATTCAGACTCACCGATCTTAGATATGCGGCGCAGCCGAATCTATCCGAAAAGAGCCTTTTGTTCAAGGTAGATTTTAGTATTAAAATTTAGCAGATGACCATGTTTAGAGAAGACTTCCTCTATTTTTTTTTATCTTTTGTTGTATGTGACAAACTGGTGGATGTGGTGCGACGGGACCCACCAGCGTTATCTTAAAGCGACATGTCGTATCTATAGGTATGTCCGAAAAATCGAATAGCGCCTCATTCAACGAAGTCTTTTATTCTAAACTGCAATTAACAATGGGATTACTGAATTATATCAAATGTATGTGTATTGTGAACTACGCGTTTGTCCACGTTCAAAAAAAAATAATTTTCCTTGTCGGCTTTAGAACAACGATGTTGTAGGTGCGTTATGTTACCGATTTTTTGAAACAGAGTGAAATAGCTTAAAAAGCATTGAGTTATAATACTGAAATTTAGCCCTTCAGTTGTCTTCGGATACAGAGTTATTCCTGTGCTTCCGACGTATCCTGGAATGTCGCCTACCTCAATATTTTGCTTCGTTTACGGTTTCTTTTGGGTTTGCCGTTTTCCCGAAGCCTGGTGAAGGCATCATTGTAACAAAGGGGCTATATATTTGTTGTAAATGGTGAATAATATACACCACTTTTTTCATCCATTAGCCCAACACGCCGATATCTGATGTGATAGTCTTACGTCCTGTGGGAAGTCTTCATTTTTTCTCAGTACCACCAGGTTGTCATCGCAAATTTTCTGTGTAATATTGGGTTCCAGAATGACTTTCAGGCTTGCCCGAACATGTCATTTATGATCTCATGCGCATTGAGGTTGACCAAGTGAGCTTGTGAGATTCAGAGGGTGAATGGCAGGCCTATTTACCGGTCAGCAAAAAATACAGTACTTTGATCGAAAAAAATATCATTGGCCACATCCAGATCGACGTGTTCGCCGTTAGCATTTTGGCCGTACAGCATTCACCACCAGCAAGTTTCATTGCTGCCGTTTCGGACGTCAGGGTTCGACGCCATATGCCAGCAAGATGCAATACATATCTTGCAATTAATTATTTATACTTTTATGATACTTTGATTGCTCCTCCAATGGACTAATGCGTTTAATAGAATCGAATACCGTGTTTCAGGGTGACCTGACTTCTGCTAATGCGATACTTGTCACAGTACGTGCATTTCTGTATGTGATAAAAATGCGTGAGTCGGCATCTCTCTTACCTGTGTCTTAGTAACAAAGCCTGATATAGGTTGTATTTACATTCAGGCGATTGGAAACATGAATGCACTTAACTATCACCATTAAGATATGTGTATATTTTATTCACATGAAAAATAATGCTCTTGAGTTGACGAAAAAAAAACTAAGTAGCCACCCAGATGCCTTTGTAAGAATCGTTTCGGAGGTTTTTTTGATTCTCGAGGTGCTTTTACCAGATCGGTCCTCTTCTGACCTACTTAGTAAGATGTCTCACCATGCCCACTTCGTTGAAAGTGGTACTCGACCGAACGTGTACATGTCGTGGGTTCAGAGGTAATGGGCACATTTGAAATCGCCTTGCAATGTCAAGTTGTTCATTTTCTCGTTGATTCACCTATAGTTACCAGTTTGCCAAAAATGACAAGCATCGATTCGAACAGTAATCGATAATAGTGTTTTAGCGCTTTATTTTCTCACCGTATGCAATAGCTTGGTATCGATACCTTGCCTTGTAGCAGCATCATTAATTACAGCGTTTTTAGCCTGCCAAAACAACCGTAAAATCGGATCCACGGCTCCCAGGATAGGGATACACGAAGACGGGTGGATACATACCGAAAACGGTGAAAATTCAACGAATAGCTCAGTCATATCACGCCGCGTATAAACGCAATACTTTATGGAGAAAGATAAGACAATCAGAGTTTTGGGACCCAACAAGGTTTGTGTTGTTTATTATATTCTAGTTTTTAAGGTTTTTTTTTTTAACTTCGGTTTGTTAGAAAAATAGTAACGATAAAAATAATACTGTTACGATTACAAATAAGTAGCATTTGTTTAACCTAGGTACTCATACGATGTTTGTTTGATCAATATTCATGTAAAAAAGCGATCTCAGGTTACTTCTTGTTATTTTATGAAAGTAGATATATGTAGATGGGTTATCCCATTATGGCGAACGCACGTCATCGAATGACTATTCTAAATAATAGATTGTCACCGCAGTATGTTACACGACGGTCCCAGTAGCACAAATCTAGCGTGTGTTGATGATGAATGATTAATGGCGAAGCAGTGCTCATTGTTGATCTCAGAAAACCGTAAATAGAAAACACCGCTTCATATAAGCTCTCCATGCAAGTTCGGCACTGTTGTTAAGTGCCAGTAGGTAAATCTGTCTCTCTGTAAGGACAGTGATGGTGTGTCACCTGCTAGTTACCACAGTGTGAGCGGCTGAATGCGCTTCAGGGTAACACATGTTTATTCAGATATGTCTCTTTGATGCTTGCCAGGTATAATATGCAAGAACAGCGGAAAGCCTGTATGCACCACGTCGTGGCGGGTAGTCAATGAGTAGGAAGACTGGGGGTGGGCCGATCTGCTCAGCTCTCTGATTACCTATTTGGGTCTGCGCCCACAAAATAATTTGCGTTCCAGCATGCTATCGAGCGTATTGGCCATTTTTGCGTTACATCGGTACTAGCGAGCGAGGTAAAGGCGCAATGGTTAAGTGGATGTCGGGCCATCGTTGTCACCGTAGGAACCGAGCTGAAGATGGCGGGGACCGCTGCCAGCTATTTTTGGATACCGATAAATCAAACTGAGACGCAGAACAAAAATACTTCCGGAGGCCTTCGGTAATGAAATGAAAGTTTTCGGCGAGCAGCACTACAATGCTGGGCTCATAGAGTTGTTAGGCGCCGTTGCCTTAAGTGCGGTTTTCTCGGTGATATTGAATTGAATCCGAGCGTCATTCCGATTCGATCGCACGTTCGGTGTAACGGCCATTTCCCCGATCACTTCGGCGAACAGCATTGAATCGAGGTTGGGACCCATCATATAGAGAAAAAACCAATCACCGATATTGGTAGCCTTCACTATAAGACAAACATCCTCAGGATCGCCGAGGTGACAGCGGTTCATGAGTAGGCGTTTGCGCATCGACGGCGAAAGGAGTATTACGATGCGATAAATGATGAGACCAGAAAAGATGCTGAGTAGCAAAACAAACCAGAACCACACGAGTATGAAGAGCTTTTCGTTGAAGACGTTCTGCGGTAACACGCAGAGCACGTCCCGATGCATGACGTCGCCGGAATATCCAAATTCGTGGAAGACGCACTTTGTCACTCGGGGAAAAACGTAAATCATCGGATCGCCACGCCTGCTATCCTCCTGCGTTAGGACCTCGAGTACGCGAATGCCATACTTCATGAATTCGTAATTAAGGAAACTGTCCATGAGGAACATCTGCATGAAAACGTTAAAAAAGCACAACAGCTCGCAAAAAAGATACTTGTACGTATAGAGATTTCGCCGGCCGAAGTTCCGATCAATCCATAATGTGATTATCTCACGTTTTTTATGTCTTTCCTCTTCGGACTTGACAGTCCCGCCGGTCAAAGCTCCCATAAGTCCACCTTCCCAGCTTTTCCAGCAATAGTGAGGCAAATAGAACAGGATAGCCTGAATAATGAGGGTTAAATACACCCACTGGTAATAGGAAACAAATTTTTTTTTATCATAGTTCGCTGAATTGTCAATACCCGGCGCGGGGACGTCCACACCAATTTGCTTCTTATGAGCGTCAGGTAAAGTAAAGGTAGGATATATCCAACAATAAGCATTAATCACTGCAGGTGGCACACCGGTTAGAGTGGTGCACTCAATTGGTGCTCCGACGTACTGCCGTGCCGAAATAATTACTGCTAAAAATAACAACAGGCCCGCGGTAAACTGCCAGTGTAGACGAAATACGCCATTTTCGACAATGGCACCTCTTCTACGGAGTCGAAAGATTCTGTGAATGCCGTCGAAAATCCCGATCATCCTGGCTCGCTGAGGATGAGAGCGTTATACGATAAATTTTTTTTTTTTTTAATTGTTTCTTACTCATTAGTGCGGTCTTCCGTTTCTGGCGTTGTTTCAAACGTGTCTCCTAAGTTGCAAAGCTTGATTTCTGCTTCATCTATGTGGCCTCTGTGTCCCATATTGGAGGCTCCGCATGGTCCCTTTCTTTTGCCTGTAAGGATCTATGCCATCGCTCTTGCACAGCTTAAATTATCGGCTTGCAACTGGCGGGCATGTTTTATCTGTCACAACGTAGAAGATCGTATTGAACCACCGAGCGGCGGTGCCTTTTGTCGTACGTTACCTGTTGGTGTTCACTTAATCGTACCTAACTTCAGTACGATACGTCGACTCTGGCCACCATTGCTACTGCAACTGCTTGGACAGTCATCAGGATAAGGCGCAATACATAGTCATGTTGAACAGCACCAAGCAGAATTTCTGATAGGACGTGCTAGCAGCCTTGCTGGTAAATACTAGGCTATAACGTTATCGAAGAGATGTTGGCCACCAATCTGTGACAAGCGGAATGTTGTCGCGTCTCAAATATTTCTGTTAAACATGATGGCAGTATGTTTGTTGCCTGAGGGCCAACAATGTAATAGAAGGTGCATCCCAGAGGCAGCCCTCTCCAAAACCTACGATGGCGGCGCCCTCCTGTGGAATACAGGAGCAAAACTGCTGAGCTAACCCACGCCGCAAAATTTCTGCTTGGTGTCAGGGTAGATTCGTTTATATAATATAATAGACCATAATGAGGGATCCCCATACAAAGCTGTAACAGGTAATCAGAGGTGGTGTCTCTATGTCAGTTCAAAACAGACGAAGTAAGAGTCGCCGAGAGATACACCAAAGCTCTTAATTACGGCAAATCTCTAGACGTACGATAGTGCTCGAAAGATCTAGTACAGTGGAAACTAAACGTTTTTAAAGGAGCGCAAGACAAGAATCTGTATACGGCCCAGGTCAAGAAACATTTATAAATGGCCCAGCTTCATAGAATAATTGAGTTTATCTAACGGAGCAGACCTAACAGATTGGGTAAGGTCATGCTTCTCTATGATAGTGTCAAACCACATAAGGCAGAGGCCGTTTAAGTCACCTTACCATTTTGAGTGAAAGGTTATGTAGATCATCCATATCCTGCGAACCTCGTGCCCGCGTATTACCACCTTTTTATGTCACTAACAAATTCATTGCGAAGCAGTACGTGGGACAATTAAAATTGTCTCAGAAGTTGCCAGAACAGCTTCTTTGACACAAGTCAGAAAATATTTCAAATCAACTGAAGGAGCTAAGACCTAAGCATGTAAGGTCCAGGGTTCAATGGATGAGAGTCAGTATCAGATGAACACTCCAGCAGTTAATTCTAGTCTGCATAATGTATCAGCCCTTGTTTTTTTTTAGATAAAAATTTGATTCTTCTTCATCATTGGTTGTTTGTTGCTCTCGCTATTAATTAGTAGTTTTCGCAAGAACTTGGCTGTAAGTTTAATATCAAGAACATTTGATGAGTTCAAGCCACCTCTTGAAATTCATATCTTGTTTAACACAATAAAATAAGCTACATTCCCAGTTAAAGCCAAGCTTTGCAGTGAACATCATCTAATTAAGCCTGTAGTAATCTATATTGTATTCCACGGTCAGTCATAGTGATTCTGATCTGAAGGTGGCCAAAATCATGATGACATCATTTCATCGACATATATCTAGCGGTAAGTTTAGCGATACTCACGATTAAGCTAGCTACATCGGACTACTGGATAGAGGAAATCTGGAACGTAGATTAAAGCGTTTCTTTACTACTCTTTTTTGAGAGGTTCTTATATACATTTTATTATAGCAAATATTATCTAATCACATCATAAAGTGAGCTTATTATGTAATTAGGCGTCATTTAGAAAAAAATTGCCAATTTTAAACTAAGCTAAATCGTAGGCTAAATATTGACGAGTATTTAAAAAGAAATAACGTGTTACTGAAGCGATATTATTTTCGTGTTTTCCACCCTGTCTAGCATACGTATGCTTAGAGCCCTCGAAAATTTACGAATTTTTCGAAATTTACGAAAATTGATTATATTTTCCTTGCGGTTCCCAGTTAGAGAAGAACGCGATACATAAAAGATTAAATATTACTGCATCACAAAGGGTAAACAAGAGTATTTACTGAATAACAATAACTTCAGAAGTAATCTATAATGAAATTTATTTGAACTCCTACTGCCATCAAGTTAACCAGCCCTCTAGTTTTTTTCTTATAATCAAAGTATTGTAAGCTAAGCTGTTTTTTAAGGGTTTTTTCGTAGGTTCTTACCTACGATAACTGTGTATCTCAACCGATAGATTTACAGCAATACTTCGTTGTTAATATAATTAATGAAGTAATCAAATGCTCCTTGTTACTTTCACAAACAAACAAAAACCAAGATTATGCCCTGGTTGTTGATAGTCATTTCTCATTAAACTAAGGTTATTAAAGAAATATAGCATGTCCGATGCGATGTCGCTGCCAATAGTGCAGTGAGCACTTACTTACAGTATAATAATACTAAAATCATGAATTACTACATAATTTTTAACCACTTGGCGTCAACTGTTAGAATAATTTCTTGTGCAGAAAAATGCAGTGATGCATGGCAGTATGGGGTAAAATGCCACTACCTCGTTAGATTATAAAAAAACGCGTTTGGGCAAAGTGGGGGAAGAGCAAATTTCTTGAAGGCAAGGCCCACAGTACGAGGGCACGTGAATAGTTGGCTCGAAGTATCAAAACGACGAGAGGTGTTTTTGCGGAGAAGGAAGTCGAACCGCTGAAATTGCATCGGTCGCAAAACACGCTGAGTTTTGATTCCCTTTATTCAACTTTATCAAATGAACTGTCGAACTTTGAGCTTTATCCAATGGAACCCTTCAGCTCGTTTTATCAACCTTGTAGGATGACCGGAAATTATGCTGCTGATCATCAATCAGTTGCAGTGGGAACTTGACCCTTTGTCTTGCTAGGTGTATGAATGATGAATTTTTTTGGAATTTCACAAAAACTAAATAGATTTAATCTCAACAAGTTTGCAAAGCTTAGGAACCAGGTCTGAGTTCTCTCAACTGAGCTTTCGATGCGTTTAAGGACTCGTGTCGGCATTTGGGCTATGAGTAACAAGTGTTTGAAGGCAGAGTCATCGTGTGACACATTTCTCATACGAAGAACAACTTTGTATCAGATAAAGTATAAAGCGGCGCTACCTACTTGCAAACATATTGCCCGTCGCCCGAATGTCTACAGCACTGCAAAGAAAAATGTAAAAACTGTTAACGCATTGGGAAGCCGAGCCGTTTCCCGCTGCTTAGCTCGGTTCGTGAGACCCACGATCCAAAGCGTGAGAATTAACCGGTGATGATTCCTACGAGCAACATCGTAGTTTGATGTAACTGGACGTCGAGGGGACGCCTATTTAATGGATGTCTTCGAGCCTGGTCAACCTAAAAGTGGGTGGAGCCCGTAGTTGATTGATTCAGGCGCCGAAACAGATTGTTTTCTTCCGAAAATAGGCAGCGGAAACATCAGAGGGTCCTATTTTCATTTCCAATTTCATTAATCTTAACACTTTTGCACAAGGAGTCCGATTGCGTCTTGCCAGAATAATGGGGCAATATGCACGTGCTTAAATGGTAGGCCGGGAAAGTTTGAAACATTTCGATGGCCAAATTGGAATAAGCGACATTTTTTCCCATTGTTTATCCCTTCACATTGTATGTTATTGAACATGGTATAGATAATGTTCCTACTTGAATTAAGAAGCCAACCACTCAATCGACTATGTGACATGCTTCAAGCTGTAGGGAACAATTTTTATTTTCTCTATATATATCTAACTCAATTGCTTCGATCTGTATAGCCAGAATTTATGTGCTCCATGTGCAAATCTCTACCATGAGGCTTCTTCTATTTAGGTATATACAAAAACTCAGAGCGTTAACATGAAGTATGAGCGGCGTGAAACGCATATCGTAAATTCATTCGACCATTGCTAGAAACGTTATAAATTAATAAGGCAAAGTAATAAAACAGCAACACATTTTTACGATAATAGTAAGATGTAATATTTTATGTCAGCGCCAACTCTCGACTATGTATAGTTTATGGCTGATAACGAACAACCTGCTCGAGAAGGATCGTCCAGTGAAGTAGTGTCGTTCTGGCTGTACAAGTTGTGACGTCCCTCGTTCCCCTTTTCTCGCTCTTTCCGAGCCGCCCACTTTGGAAAAGCAACAGAATGTCGCGTTACCTTGTTTTATTTTGTTTAATTCAGCGTACTGCACCTTCAGGCTAGTAGCCGCGTCTGCCACCAACTCCCAGCCTGCGATGTGCTTGCTCATGTCGAAAGAAGGTGACATTTACTTCTACTGCGACTACCATAACTGATGCTTCTTCGTTTTCAACTTTATCGAAGTCCCGTACTGGGTTTTGTGCCTCAGAAGAGATCAGGCAACGTGCGCTCCACGGAAAAAAACTTCGCTGGTTTTGTAAACGACAGCAACAACTGCGATCACAACGTTCTAGCGATACACAAACGTCAAAAACGATTGTGTATCGCTGGAACCAGCGGAGTGTGTGTTGGCTGGTGTCTTCGTTCTCGAGTCTGCTAAGATAACGCTTTTTCCAGTCATTATAGTGTTCCGCGTGTGTCATGTAACGCTCAAACGGATCGAACAAAAATAGAGAACCGGATACTTCCAGACTGTTAAAACGGGGCAGACAGCAGCAGTTCAAAAAGCTGCCTGGTAGAGTCTATTGAAGCCTGTACTCACTGTTCTCGAACTGGATTCGTTGTATGAGAATACACACGGCTTTTTAAAGATATAGGAATCATAGTTTTTTTTTTTTTGGAAATTGAAAATCCATTCATAGGTATAATTTTATATCTTTAACCGAAGATAAATCATTGCTACTATCTGGTAGTGTTGTTCACCTAAAGCGGCTGTCATGGGTGCTCATACACTTATAATAATATATAGTGTAATTGTTAATTCTAATTACACAGCTTTACCCCAGTTCTTTACGAATGGCTAGTGCATCAAGAATATCTTGCAACCCACATCGGGGAAAAAAGCTTTCTTCACCTCGTTTAAACCTGCGTTCAGTCACATGTGTGTTCCGTGTATATATGGCTGTAACCTATATACACTTATATAATCTTGGCGAGAATGAAAGACTCTATGCAGTCAGGTCCTACTATCGTAAAGACGAAATAGATTCATTTCGAACTAAACATTTGTAAAATGTTAATCATTCGATGAAAATAGTATAATACAATTGGAGGTTCATGATGTAGGTTCACCTTTTCTTTATACGATAAGCCAATGTAACGTCGATAAATTATATTTTGGCTAAAGTTTAAAAGGTAGTTTACTGCGACCTAACCTAACCTAACCCAAAATTGCATCCTGGATGAAGAAAAAATAACATTTCAATATCTCTATGTTTCAGAGTTTCGCAATTTTCGTATGCAAATGTACGTATGGGTGTTTTTTAGATGACCATACAATG